AGGAATGCTTCTCCATCAATTTGCTTGAAAAGAAAAAACACACAAAGCTATTAATAGGTCTGACAGTGCAGCAGTATAGATGTTTCAGAAAACATGAGAAGAAAATTCTTTAATTTCAGACAGTGTAAAGGAATGGCTGAATACAAACACTTTGAAATGCTTTCAGGATAGCTTTGATTTCAACCTTTTAGACAGATCAGCTAGTCTAGAAGAACAGGATAATGATCATCCTTCTGCCTGAAAACTGTCTGGCTAATTTTTAGCTAACCAGTTCTTATTTTCATATTGACAGTATAAAGTAAAAGCTACTGACAGTTAAAATGGATAAATGAGGTAGAATTCAACTGTACTGCAGCACAGTAATGCTTTTTAACATCTTAGCTACTCCTTTTATGCAAGCCTTTGTGACAGAGCTTCTGGATTTCACTTCCAGCTGCAGCACTGGAACCCCCTTCAGGCCACCCCTTTCTGTTAATTAAATAGCAAATTAAAACAAATTGGGTCCCAGATGTAAACAAGGGCCAGGCTACATATAACTGCTTCTTTGACACAAACACAGCTTGTTAAGACACTGAGTATTTTTATTTCCAGCTTTGTAGTGTTACCATTTCAATATACGTTGCAAGTGAATATTCTGTAAACAAATCTCTCAGTCAGCAGGAGTGCTAAATCCAAACATGAAGAGCCACAAGGCCCTCATTTCCAAGGGCTTCAATGGGGCCAACACTTTTCGTGTCAACTTTAGGTCACTTTAGGTATCTGTAGTAAGTTTTCAGTGTAACCTAAGCAGGATATCAACAGTGGTTAGTTATATCAGGAGCACTGCTTAGTCTTAGATACTAATTTGAGATAAAACCAGTGTAACCAAGATTCTGCAGGACTGGAAGACAAGCTTTCTGAGTCAGACACACTGCAAAGGGAAGCCTGCAAGGTACACCCCAGCACTGTAAGTCAAGGAGCACTGAAGTGAGAACAGCAATCACCCAGTTACCACAGTTAGTTACTACTCATTTCATGCACAAAGCCAGATTGGGTGAGCTCTGAACCAGAAGTGTGTGAATGTGGGAGCGCTCAGCTTTTTGCACCATATTAAGGAGGATAAGGCTTGATTTCCACGGCGAAGTTTGAACCAGCACCTT